ATATCAAAATTTCCTGAGAAAAGCCCCCAAAGTGAAGACGCATCATATTCAAAATATAATACGTCACAATATCACACTGAGCGACTGAGTGTGAGAGTGTCACCTCTGTGAGCTTGTCCAGTTCTCCCAACCAGGCGCCAAACATCTTGTCCAGATCCTGGTCCTCCTTATCGCTGTCTTCTTCAGCAGCATGGTCCAACTCATCATCTGATGCCTGCTCCATATCTGCTGTAACACACACACACCACCTCAGTACATGATACAGTCAACTAGCATGCCATGTCCACATCAACAGACTGCCTGATGTCTAAACATACAGAACATCACAGATATTACAGCCTGCTGACAAAGAACCAACATTTCAAGAACGACTTGTTGGGTTTGATGCGTCTTGTCAACACAATAAGGTGTTGATTCATTTGAAGTATGACGCACATCACAAGTTGTCATGATGATTGATTTAGTGTCCACTTATGTAACCCAGTATATGATATTAATTTCTCGTTCCTTATCTCACATCACCATCGAAACCCTTAAATCTTTCTTTTGACTGAGAGTTGTGATATGACACTTTCCAATCTGCATTTGACACTGCAATCCCATAGGATAACATCTGTCAGTCTGGCATATTTGAGAAAAACAAAACACTTTTTTTTTCATTATCTTAATATATGCTCTGTCAGACACCTCCAGTGTTCATCTCTGTCTAAAGTAAGTCATTATTTCAAGGTTGCCTTCTGAGAGGGTGTGATGTGGTTGTTATGGTAACCTCAGCTCCATCTCAAAGACTGGCATTGTTGCCATAGCAACCTTCTCTAGCTCTCCCACTATCAGTTTTCACCCCCATCATTGCCATGGCAACCCCTGCTGTATCTTCCACTGTGTTTTCTGATTAAAATATTGTTCATTACTCACTAATATATTAAAATTAACCAAAGCACTCGAAGTACTTCTAGGTTACTTAGAAGTATTAGGCCTACTCTTGTTACTGAAACTACACTGCATCAAGCACACATAAACAAAACATGCTAATAGGACTTGTAGATCAACATTAATGTTTCAGTGCAATGTAATTAAATCATATTTTAGATGTAAAATTGGAAACACTGTAATCAAGAGAATGCTGGGTGTGTCAGTATTAGTAATGACCTCATTAGAAAAGAGTTTTGAGGGTGTAAGGCGACGGTTGCCTTCTAGTGGAGAGTAATGTAACTGACGCTCAGTCACAGCTACAACTCAAACAAAACACACGAGTCAGCATGCGCGTGTGAGCATGTATTAGGCTTTTCATGCTGAGTCAGGGTTGGGTGAATGGAAAAACGATGAACTTTGGTGAACAACTACCAGATGAATCACAAACTATGCATAGAGACATATTAATGACAGCCAGATTCACGTTCACAGTAGGAGAAACCAGCTGGGGCCCCTTGACCACACTTCACTATTACATGTAATATATATATTATTATAGGAATTATACATTTATTATTACACAAAATGTCAGACTGTAGAAACCTAAACTGATCATATTCTCAACTCTCTTTTTCATTTTCCATCTTTTTCTGCTACTCAAATGCCTTATTGGGGCCCAACAGAGCAAAGAGGATCCCTCAGAGATTCGGAGCTCACCTTAACCCCAATGAGCCGCTTCACTCTTTGATCCAACAAGGGTTTGTTTGTACTTATGTATGAAGCAGACATGAAAGCAGACAGAATGTTTTCTAACATTTACCTAGAAAATATATGATCAGAAAGCAGAATCACATATTCCAGGAAGACGTGTACTAAACTACAGCAACCAAAGTCAAAATATACAGTACCCTTCAAACGTTTGGGATCGGTACGACTTTTTGAATGTTTTTGAAAGAAGTCTCTTCTGCTCACCAAGGCTCATTTATTTGAGCAAAAATACGGTAAAAACAGTAGTGAAATAGTACTACAATTTTAAAAAACTCTTTTGTATGTGAGTAAATTTTAAAAATGTAATTTTTTCCTGTGATGCAAAGCTGTATTTTCAGCAACATTACTCCACTTTCAGTCTCACATTATCCTTCAGAAATCATTCTAATATGCTGATTTGCAGCTCAAGATACATTTCTTATTATCAATGTCGAAAACAGTTGTGCTGCTTCATATTTCTTAGATTCTTTGATGAATAATGTTCAAAATAATATTTGGAATATATTTGTAAAATATTTTGAAACATTCAAAATATATTTACTGTCACTTTTGGTCAATTTAATGCATACTTGATGAAAAAAATTAATTTCTAAAAAAACAACAACAAAAAAACCCTGTACTTTGAACTGTAATGCATTTCTAACAGCTCATTAAAACGAACTATTATCTGTAGGTACGGTGCTTAGACCTTGAGAAAAATGACCATCAGAATGGTTCTCCAGATGTTCTTGAGATTAGCTTAGCTTAGCTTCATAAATATCATTCCAACCCCATCATGGCAAAGTACTACCTAACACAAACAAAAAAACAAACAGTGTCACTGTAAGAGACTCTTCGGAATCAGAATCTAAACTGAATGCTTTAACCATTATGAGATGGTTTCAGACCCTCCTGGGTGAGCTGCATTTCCCAGGGTTTGCATATGCAAGTCCAGTGACTAGATACCATCAGAGGCAGTTCAGTTAAATTCAGTAGATCGGGTCTTGCAAATATATCAGATCAGCAGGAAACTAATGACGCCTTCAGCAGGGGATTGTAAGATAGTGCAACTAAACAGACTTACTTTGTGATAACTCCTTATCAATACAACATAAATCAGAAGTGGGGAACGAAGCACAAGAGAATTAATTAAGTGACTAACCAATGCATATTACATCATTTTAATTGTGCATCCCAAGCCCATGCCAGTAAAAAAAACAGCCCAAAGCAGCGCAATTACCATGTCCCAAATATAAAAATGAAATTTCCATCCCTAAAATACATATTTTACAGTCGCACAGTTTTATTACAGGTTGAATGCAAAATGTTTCAGTAGAAGCATTTCAACCAAATGTAATTTATGCAATATTTCAAACCTTTAACTCACTGGGGAAAATCAACCCATGGCAACAGTTTAAAAGCAGCCAAATTTCGTGCGCGCTGCATTTTAATTTTGAAATGTGCAGTGCTCAGTTTATTCAACGAAGTAGAATCCTTTTGGAAAATCTATTTGTGGCAGTCAGTTTTGATTTTGTGACGGGCCACCACAAATAACTCGATGTATGGGAAACACTGGACACTGCTATAAGTCAAATGGCCATAATCTAAGTGATAACAAAAATTAAAAAAAAATAAAAATTACTCATATTAGCGGTGAAATGTCATCCGATTATGTCAAACGTCATACGCTCACTGGATGTCATGACAACAAATGTCATGAAGGAAAAGTTTCAATATCTCGCCTTCGCTTTCATTTTGGACCGTCTCCAAAAAGACATTAAAAAACTAAACATATGATTTACAAGTTTAACATGCGTTTATCAAAGTAGGAAATAATTAGTGTTCTTGAAATATGAAATTGGGGTGGGTCCAGACTGAATTCCCTCCGGGTCCGCATTCTGACCGGAGTCCGGACTTTGAGAAGCACTGCTTTACACAGTGCGTGCACGATCGCGAAATCAAAAATGAAAGTGAACTACGACTGAGAGCGCTCATTCAAAGGGGATTTAAATACCCCACATATTGATAGTGGCGTCCTGATGCGCGAAAATTATATACAATATTAGAATGTTTGTAGGAGCGGATGGGAGCGTCCGGTAATGGTCAGAAATTCAGCGTGAGCGGGATCAACAAGCCCCGCTCTATCACGCAGCGGCGTAGTCAGTGAGCGCTGTAACATATGAAGTCAAAGAACCCCACTATTCGATAAATATACATAATGAAAAGATGATACAAAATGTAATACCTTGGAAAATGGCATTTAAAACTTTTTTATACTTTTTAAGGGCCTTAATTTTCTCTAAATTGATTTATCAACTTTTAATACTTTTTAAGATCCCACGGACACCCTGTTTAGTCACTCTACTGCAAACGGCCATGGCTCTGCATAATCAGTCAAGCACAAAGAGCATAAATAAAAACAGAAAGAGGGAAAGAGAGGGGACAGTGTGGGGCAAAAGGAGATTTTGCTAAATTATGGAAGAGCAGAGAATGAAAAAAAGGTGGGGATAGAGAACGAGAGCAGAGGGAAATTAGAGAGGCATGTTATCTTGGCACCCTGTTGCTTAACAGCTGCTGATTTAGACTAAGCTCTAACTCTCTCTAACACACACGAAATGGCAATGGTACAAAATGTAGACAATAAATTCATCCTTCATACTTCATCTGCCACTACACACAATCTAAAAATGTGTGCTTCCTTCTATGAAATTCAATGCCTTTTATATTTTGTGATTTTTAAAGAGATTTATATAAAATAAAGTATATATGTATGTGCTAATGAACTGAATTGTGCCATTTGAAGCTTAATAATATATGAATTAACAAGTATCTGGTGGAATGTTGTGAATGTGGCAGGGTGGAACATTTCAACGCAAACTGGCTACAACTCTCCTATGGCCTGCTGTCAGCAGTAAACAAAAAAAACAAAAAAACCCTGCAGTAATCAAGCCTCACGAACACAGAAAGGGATTCTATTTTACTTGAAAATAAATGGGTTAGGGTCTGAATTCCACAAGGATACACACACACACACACACCATTTAACAAATGTTCAGAATTCAGAATTATGAAAAATATATTTTAAGCATTCAAAACAAAGTAGATTGTTCTGCTTATAGCATTTCAGAAAGTCATATTGTGGACAAAAATGGTAAGAATTATTGAAAATGATAGAGAAAAAGAGAAGGAGGTACAGAGGGAAAGACAGGAAATGTCCAGGATGTACAGAATTCTTCACTTCTCCCGCGAGCTGTTCTGTCAAGGCTCTCCCATCACCCTCCAGCAGCTGTTCTCTGACTGACTGACTAACACACATACACACACACACACACACACACACA